AATATAACTGTTTCTTACCACTTCCACTGATACCACCATGATTCAAGCTACCACTTCTCACCTAGATAATACAATAGCCTCCTAACTAGTCTTCCTACTAAGTCTTCTTAACACAGCAAGTGTCAACCTTCTGCTCCAAATCATTCAGTGATCGCTCCCCATTTTCCTCAAAGTAAAAGGCAGTCCTTCTTTACAAAGGACCACAATAGTCCACACATTAGGCCTCCACCTTACCTCTACGACAGCGGTTCTCAACCTGTGGGTCATGACCCACAGAAACTGTATGATCTCATCCCCATTTACTTTCTTGCTATTCTTTTCTATTTCTCAACTATGAAAAACACTCCAGTTACACCCTCCTCCTGCCCCCAAATCAACATGGTTAACTTTTAATTCCCTTAAATCTTTGCTCAAAAATCACCTTCTGAATAAACCCATCTAACCACCCACTTCAGAAAACACCCTTTGGGTACTCCCAGAGGTCCTTTATCTCTTGTTCTTTATTCTGTTCTAATACACTGTGTTTTAATTATGTTTACTGTTCATTAACTCAATCCCCCCCAACTAAGGTTCCATGAGGGCAAGGACTGTTTTCCATTTTCTTTACTGGTAAGGCTGAAATTCCTGCAACAGAATCTCACATCTAGGTCAGCCATGGTGGGTCATGCCCATACTCCTGGCACTCTGAGAGGCTGAGGCAGGTAGACTGCTTGAGCTATGATGCCACAGCACTCTACTGAGGACAAAGAAGTGAGACTCTGTCTCAAAAAAAATTAATACAAAGTAAATAAATAAATAGCCGGGCATTATGGCAGGTGCCTATAGCCCCAGCTACTTGGGAGGCTGAGGCAACAGAATCACTTAAGCCCAAGAGCTGAAGGTTGTTATGAGCTCTGAGGCTAGGGCACTCTAGCACTCTACTGAAAGCAACAAAATGAGACTCTGTCTCAAAGAAAAAAAAAAAGAATCTCACATCTACTAGGCACTCAGTAAGTACTCTGTGAAATGAATAGCTAAATGTCCAGGATGGTATCCTGGCATGTCTATAAAACTTAACCCTGAGCTCAGCACCTGTGGCTCAAGTGGCTAAGGCGCCAGCACGTACATCCAAGGTGGTGGGTTCGTATCTAGCCCGGGCCCACCAAACAACAATGATGGCTGCAACCAAAAAA